AAAGCTTTGTTCTTGCTGTTTTTAAAGAAAATGAAAAGTTGTAGATATGAATTATGCATTTTGTAGTCATAATTCTTAACATAAGTTAATATTTTTGATGTCTGTATTGCTTGTTATTAAAGAGTGTAGAAATTGATTAATAATGAAGTCTCATTTCCTTATAATTCAAAGAGATACTCTAATTTGTTATTTTCTGTGTTTTAGCTTGGTTATTTGTCTGGTAGTTAAAAAATTGAAATTCATACTTGTCTGTAAGTTTATCTTGCTTTGTTTATTAAGAGCTTTTGAGCTCCTAGGTCTCCAGGAAGTTACTTTGGAGATGCTGGTGACCATTTACTCTGAACAACTTCAGCCATTACTTAAGGATGTGCATCTTGCCTCAAGGCTTAAAATTGAAGGTAGAGATACTTATCTGGAAATTGAAATTTAGTTATAGCAAAATTCCAAAGATCTTCTTTAGTATGTGTTTAGATAAATTAATTAGATTTATTTATTTATTTGATTATCTTGGACTTTTTGTAGGCTTACTAACATAAATATTTACAGAAAGAATGTAAGTCCTCTGTATAAATTATTAGATTCTGTTATCTGAGTTTTAGATTTCAATAAACTTGCTGTAGTTTAGACAAAAATAAGTATTTGTTTTTGTTAACCATCAATGTATATTTGTTATCCTATACATTTTTAGCACTAAGATTATATAAAGCTATTGGTATGTTTGCTTTGCTCTTTATTCATTTAGTCATACAAGTTAGCCATGAACACTTTAACTAATGTACTAGAAATGCATTTCAAAACTTCCGAGACACATTAGGTAAGCATTCAGTTAGCATTTTTAATCCTTGTTTCTTTTGTTGAAATGACTATGCACCAACTTGCTTGTGATCTATTAATAATTACTGCTATGCCCACTATCTGTTTTACATAGAAAATGAATGATTTCACCCAGTTGTTTTGTTCATTTTTGGACACTGAGTGTTCTAAAAGGCAAAAACATAAGATTACTCAATGTGTACAATATGTGGCTCTCATCAGTAGTGAATGGTATAACACACGTCAGTAATTTGAGGACTAAAATGATAAAAGAAATGATAAAACCCAAGATTAAAGCAAGATTTCAAGGAATTTAGTTCCTCTTCATTAGGTTAATGAATAGAACCAGTTTCATAGAAGTCATTCATAATTTAGCTTCTCAGTGTAGTGAAATAAGTAAATAACATCAGTTTGAAATAACTCAAATTAGAGATGACTTATTCTAACAATGAAAATTAATGACACCAGTTTGAGAGGATCAGGTTTGAATGTAACTAATTATAGCAGCCAAACTTAATAAATATAATCTTATATGTAATGGATTAGAACAGTGAGACGTAAATGAACTGCCTTAGAGAAACCAGACTAAATTTATCAAATTGGTGCATAGATATTTACTTGACTAATAATTTTTGAGATGTCATTAGAGGAAACTCACTGATGCAATAAAATTTACTGGAATAACAGTTTGATGAAGTTCTAGTTTAACTAAACCTGTTGGTGGGGTAAAACTTATATGATAAGTACATAAGAAAAGCTAGACTATACTAAATGCTACTAACAGTAAAACATAAATGAAAAAATAATTTCAGAAAAGTCTTTTTGAACAAATAGTTTTTTCTTTAGCTCTTTACGATCAAATAGTTGAAGAGCAGTTTGCAGAGATGCAACAGGTCAAGAAAGATGAGACATTAGAACTACCTGATGATCTTGACTACTTTGGGTAAAACTATAATTCCTGTTCAATATTTTTTTTTTCACTTATTTAAGGTCTGAATGACACTTAGAGTAAAAAAAAAGTTTGAAAACTGAGAAGGAAGTTTTACTGTTGCAGTAAATACTTGTCAAAAACACTTAAAATAATATTGTTTGTGTTAAACACAGTTTTCATTCCCAATAATTTTTTTTTAGTTATCTGTATGACTCACAAGTAAGATTTTACAACAATGTATGTGTTTATATATATATA